ATCAATTTATCTTAGATTAATGTAAAATTTTGTATATATTATCTCGGAGTAATGAACTTTCAATCTAACGGTAATTTTTTAAAAATTTACATTTAATACAAAGTTATTGAACGGTGTAATAGCTGATAAAATTAAACATTGATGTCATTTGAACTCTCCTCACACACACACACACACACATATATATATATGTGTGTGTGTGTGTGTGTATGTATGCAGAGAGAAAATGATCCACTTATTCCAAGAGTAACTCTACAATTTTTTTTAAAAGTTGAAAACTATTTGATATATCGTTTCATTAATTCAAATTGAAAACTATTTAAATTGAAAACTATTTTAATAAAAATTCAATTTTATGATTATCAATCACTTGAATTAATAAAATGATGTATCAAATTAATTTTCAAATCTTTTAAAACTTTGTAAACTTATTCTAATAAGAACTTTTAATTTAATAGTTGAATCGTTAAAAATTAATGTATAATAATTATTAAATAAAATAAATCTAAATAAATTTATTTTTAAAATAAGTGAATTTTTCTCTTTCTCTCTCTCTCTATATATATATATAAACTAGGGGATCACAAGATCATAACTATTGAATTTATCCCATGTCTAAGATTATATAATAGTCATGTAACAAGTGGGTTTATTGTCCACCCTAACCCACACATTATTTGTTCAATACATGATCTATATCAAAAAGTATATATAACTTATTTATTATAAAAAAGAAAATTCATTTAATAGAAATCTGACTTTTTTTTATGCATCAAAATTTTATTAACAATAATATGATTCAAACTTAAAATTTTATGGATGTTACTATTTATAGATTTTATTATCATTAAAGCTATTACAAATCTTAGAGCTATTACAAATTTGTTTTGAGTGAGTCAAGACAAAGAGTTATATTGAAAGACTATATTTGGTAGTTCAAAGTGAATAACATGAATGGTTTAAGAGAGAAGAATTCACTTTAAGCGTGTGAACTCAACTTGAAAGTCCACAAAAAATTATTATAAAATTAAGATTTATAGAGGTCTCTTCATCAATTCATACCGTAATATACAATTATAGAAATATTATACAATTATAGAAATATTAGAGAAGTTTCTATGAGATTAATGTGGGAATCAAAAATTGCTCAAACATTCATCTAGTATTGTAATTTTTAGTCATGAGTGGTTAAGTTCTCCATTGTTGAAAATTGAAATAGTTACCGGAACTATATAATTCTTCTTGTTTAGATAATTGTCTTTCTTTTGCTATTGATGTTTGTTTTGCTTTGATCACCTCATGCATGATTTATTAAAATTAATTAATTGAGGTTAAACTATTTTGAAACTACAATATAAAAAAATACTAATAACATTATTATCAAGAAATTGAGATTAATCTCATTAATCGACTTTTAGTGCTTGACCTTAATACAAAATTGTTTAAAAGAAATTATTAAAGAATTAAAATTTTTCTTAAACAACCTATAAATTCTCACCTACAAAATTAGAATTTAAATAATGTGTAGGCCAATGAATTAACCGGTTAATTATAAATCGAATGAAAAATTTATAAAATTTTACGTAAGTTAGTAAATCAATCTCTAAATACTTTTATTATATATTAATTTTATCCAAGTTATTGTTTTCTTTTTAATTTTTGAAATTAAATATTTCTTTCTTTAATTTTAATTCAATCACTTTTTAGTTTACCTATTTAGTATCATAATTATATTAAATAATTATAAATGCAAGTATGTGTGGATTAATAATTTAGATTTTCATCCTTTTTATTAGTATGTCACTTGGTATATTTATCGACTGTATATCAGTTGACGGTTCATTATTATTAAACTCGTAATGATTTTTTAAAATTGAGACTCTTTTTTCTTGTATTATATAAGATAAAATTACAAGTATATTAATATTGATCATTTTATACCATTCTGAATTAGCCATTTTTTATGGAAATATTAATTATAGTTTTTTAAAAATTATTAAAGTTTAATATCCTTTTACCCCAATAATTTAATAAACTTTATCTATTAGTGTTTTTAGTTAAAAATATTTCATTTTAGTTTTTATACATATTATTTATTTTCTTTTAATTCTTATTATCTATTTCTCTAGAGACTAAAAAAAGTTTATTTAAGATTAAATTATATTTTTAGTCACTATTTATTTTTAATGATTTAATTAGTCTCACTATTTTTAAAAGTTTGAGTTGATTCTTTAACTTTTAAAAAATGTTAAATGTTGTCCTTTTATCTAAATTTACGCTAACATTATTAATAAAATTAAATGAAAGGGTAAACATTAGACATTTTTGTAAAGATTAGAGGACCAAATTAAATATTTTATAAATAGTAAGATCAAATTGAACATTTTAAAAATAATAGGATCAAATCAAATAAAAATTTATCTAACATTTTTTTAGACAAATTAAAATTTTATTTTATACTTACCTTAATAAGATAATGAATAACAACAAATTGAATACTTGAAATTAAAAAAAAAACAAAAAATAAAGAATTATCTAATAAAAGATATTATTAAATAGGTAAAAAAATAAAAATTTATCTGATAAAAAAATATTAGATAAATTTTTGTTCAATTTAGTCTTTACTTATTTTAAAATTTGGTTCCATTATTTTAAAATAATTTAATTTATTTTTCTAATTTTCAAAAGATATTTAGTATATTATTATTCTATTCAATTTCACTATTGTTGCTACAATTAGAAAAAAATGACAATATTGAATTTTTTTTATAAAAAAAATAGAGAAATAAATTTAAAAATTTAAAATAATATAACCAAATTAAATGTTAAAAATAAATAGAGAAATTAAAAATATAATTTAATCTTTATTTAATTATTGAAACCAAAAGAAAGAAAAAGTTAATGCAAGTATTAGAACTAAAAGAAAAAGTTTATACAATTATACTATTATAGGAACTAAAAAAATTTGAATAAATAAAAACTAAAATAAAAAAAATATTAATTATAAAAATTGTATGATAAAATTTATGAAATTATATTGAAAATATAATTAAATTAATTATTAATTGTCATACGTACTAAATATTTTTTTTTACTGTTATGCATAAAAATTCATCTTGATAAATATGTAAGTTAATAAACTTGTTCAATCAACTTTATTAATATTAGCATAATAATTATGCAAGCTTGAAACCCCGAAATAAAATTATTAAACAAAGAGATAGTAGCATATTTTGTTTTAAATGACACAAAATTAAATTAACTAATTAAACTAAAAACATTTCATTTTTTTATAGTAGAAGAAGTTTTATAGTCTAAGGTATGATTAAGTCACATGATTATTACTGTAGGTCACTAACACATAGTTAGCATCAAACAACTGCAACTAACAGTAGTGTTTCATTAGGAAGATTGATGGTTGTCTCGGTCATAGCGGTCTCTAAATGATCTAACAATTAATTATTCAACAATGTTAACAATTAATACTATTATTTTTACATTTCTTTATGCTGAATTTCACTTTCAATTCATTGAGTTTAACTAGAATAGACATCTTGTATTATTATTATTATAAAATAAATATATTTGACTTGAAAATAGGTCTAATGAGTTGTTACTGTCTTAGGGATGATTGCGGTTATAGGCTTCCATATTTTTATAAACCCCCTTGTTGACTTAGAATACTGTAAAGTACAAACAACACAATAACGTTAGATTAAATTGATTGAATAACTAACAAAACTAACATGCAATGCTTCTATGTAATTATTGTATCCATTCTGCTTATAAGTTGTGCAAATTTTTTGTATCCTTCTTTTTACACACAAAAGACTAATAGTAGTTAAAAAATTAGGAAAAGACTAATAGTTTTTTATGTACTCACCGATGTTACAATGTTCTTATTAACTTTGACTGCCCCACTCACATAGATATTCTTTGACGACATAAACAAACTTTTCTGTTTATTAGTTCCTCCACCATATTTACTAGAAGATGAATCAAATGTATTAATAGAAACCAGTTTGCTTTCGTCAAAACCACCAAGAACAAGTCTACAAAGTGGATGAAAGTTTCCAAACATATATCAATTTAGCACAAAATATTTATACCAAAAGAAATGTCTCTTCGAAAAAAGTTGTGACTAACTATTCACAATTTTATCCAGTTGTTGACAACAATTTTATAAATAATAGAAAAGAATATGATCAAAGCCAACATGGTCAATTCCCTTGCTAATTAGTATACTATAGATGAATGAAACAAACATAAATTGAACCATAAAATCTTACTTCAAATACCCAATTCCATTATATCCACCAATAATATAAAACAAATCATTGAATCCTAAGACAGCGGGAGCAAATATCTGAAAATATAAAAGGTTGATTAAAGAATAAGTTCATTATAATTTTATAAGTTGTTCAACTTCAAAACTTTAATTACTTATATTCTATAAGAGAAAGATGGACTGTTATGTAACTTCATATTCTAGAAGTCATAAATACAAAGAAGCATGTAAAGAATAAAAGAAAATTAGAACTTGATGCAAGGATGTGAACTATATTATGATATAAGCTTTCATGAAAAACCTTATACCCATCTACATGGTCTTCTCTTAGATCAAGACAATTGTCAAAGTACAAAGTAACTAGAAGCATCAACAAACCAAAGATTCATTAGTTGAAATATTTAAAAAGCTATAGTGGCTATTAGAAAAATAAAAAATTACTGGGAATATAAATAGGTATCTATTATTAGATTTTATTACAATTTTACCGTAGAATTTCACTGTTATGATTAATGGTTAAGTCTAATTAGGATAAAGTAAGAGTTTCGGTCTTTATTTGTCTGAATTTTCTTTTTTATTTTCAACAAGGTCAATGTAAATCACATTACATCCCCAATTGTCTCTCAATCATGCTCTGTCATATGATATTCCTCTTAAATTTTTTCAGAAATGGATTATATAATACCCATAAACTATTATATTTTACCTTGTTTTGTATTGAATATGCAGAGATCCACTTTCCAAGGTCTAAATCAAACACCTCAATATCTGAGAAGCAGTCAATTACACTAGCACCAACATCACCAAATATTTTGTTGGTCAAAGAAACTAGTGCCAAACTTCCTTTATTCTGATTCAAAGAGGGGCACAAGGCCCACTTATCGAGAATTGGACTATATGATCCAACTATAAAAGATAAAAAAAAAATTGACAAAAATTCATGTCACAAAAAATAAATTAGAAAATTCAGCAAGATCTCACTCCTATGTTATACCAAACATGACCATTTCTGCCAAAAAAAACACAAAACTTACCGTTTAGCTCTAATATTGAATCATATGATTGAACTCTGTTCACAGGATAGAGAGATTTGGTCACATTCTGGAAAGGACAATAGAAATTCAATGCTGTTAACCATGATTTTGTATCAAAATCCGGTTTTAAAGATAATGACTCTTTAGGGTCTACATGCTGATCAGCATATGGCTGAATGGCTGTCTTCTCAACATGTGTCAGAGGAAGATTAAACGCTGATTCTAACTTTGTACAACGATCCATTAGATTCTGAATTTTCAATTCTGCCTCCCTCTGGAATGATATAAACAAAATAAGCATAAAAGGTTTATGATATGAAAAATAGAAACCGATTACAATTGAAGGTACTAAAAGTTATTCCAAATGATGAGGTTTTTAATTGCTGTTTACATATTTCAATATTAATTCCTTATCCAACCAAACATTAACATTCTTTTAACTTATATTACCCTCATTTTGCTTCTGAATACTGTTTTAATTGGGGTTTGAATCTACAATAGCCACTGAAAGGATGGAGCGAGACAAAAGAGGGTCACATTTATGAATTGAGACCAAAAATTTAAGAAAAAAATGGCTAAACTAAATTCCAAATTTGAAATCAGGTAACAGAGTTAATTAGTAAGAACTAAGGAGAAAACCAGTACGTGATCTGCATTTTTGAGGTTTTCAAACAGAAGCAGATGTTTGAAGTTCTATGTAGTGATCATTACTTGACATGAATCGATAAATTAGGTGAATTAAGAAGTTCCATTTGTTTGGTCTACGTATGACTATGAAGTATGAATGCCTAATTACCTATACATTTTTATGCATGCTAGAAATATACTTAAAAGATGCAAGAGATGAAGAAACAATTAAAAGATATGATAAAATTTAGCTGACATCAATGATGATGAAAGGAGTACCAGCTTCTGCTCCATGTAACGATTTTTCTGTGTTTGTATTTTCTTGAAAGCGGTTAGTTCTTCAACTTCTTGCATCAACTACAAAATGCAATGAAGTTAGTTCCAAGAAAACACAATTAATTTACAGCATTAAACATAGACTTTGACATGTTATGATGATTGTTTAAATCAATTCCTAATTAAATGTAATCTGTTTCCAGTTCTTAAAAATTACAAAAACTGTTTTCAGTCTTGGACAAAAGAGTAAATGTCTTATGTTTTTGTTAAATGGAGAGACTAAGAGCAAACAAAATTTAAATAAAACTAATAGGAAAAATAACATTTGAGAGACCAAATATTGAATTAAGCCTTAAATATATTTTCATTCATAAGCCTCAGCTACCTGGTCAATGGTGCTTTGATGCTGAACTGGAGGACTCAAACTCTCTTCCTTCTCCTGTAAACCTGTTGGCACCTCCTGATAATCCTTTTCCTTTTCCACAGTGCACTCATCATTCTCATCAGAAGTGTCATTTACATTATCTGACACAGAAAGGTCTTGGCTTTCATGGCCAAGAGCCAATTCCTTTAGTTTCACATATATAAGGTTCATCTCATTCTCATTCATCTCCTTCATTGGTGCCAGGGTATCCAATGGCTTGGTGTCCCCATCTAAAGAAGAATTGATTTCAGTTGAATCTTTTCTTCTACTTGAGCTAGTTAAATGCTGTGTCTCTGATTCTGGTGTTTCACATGCTTCACCTTTGTTGAGAGTTGATGGAGGAGATGGAGACACACTTCTCCACTTCAAATTACAACCAGCAGCAAATGCTAAAGAAGCTAGTAATGAAATAAGCTTGCTTGCTTGTCTATGGTCTAATTCAAAACAGAAATGGTTATTTGTGTAGTAGTTGTCAGCAATTACTTGTGCAAATTTATCTTCAGACAGTGGCTGGCACTGAAGCCGGACTCGAAATTTAACCTTAAATGTTAGTAGCAGATAATGTTAGGCCCTTTTGATGAATCATAACCACTATTAATTGAATCATAATAAGGTTTTGTTTGGATCCAAGTTTAGGAAGAGCTTTTTAAGAACTTCTCAACTGAAAATGAAAAGCTTTTCAATAGAGAAGCTATCAGAAGTAGAAATATTTCCGACCTGTATCCAAAAATAATTAAAGTTTGTCAAGTAGATATAACAAAGGATACCTGTGCAGGGTATTGTGTTCTATCCAATTCTGAATCATCATCAATCCATGCATAAGGGTCTATATACATTTGTCCCTTGCTAGATGCCTCAAAAATTCCATGGAGCTTCCTGTCACTATAGTTGAATAGAAAGATAGGCAGGCCAGGATCAATGTTCTTCACATAGGAAAAGTGGTTAGCTGGTAAGCCTGTTAAAACAAACACAAATTACTGATTAAATGATAAAACAACCCATCCTGAAAATGACGGATTTCATTGTTAAAACCAGTGAATTTATGATATTATCATATTAATCATCCTGATTTCAATCAGAACTACATAATGTTGTGTCAATATGTGTATCTTACACATTTTAGACTCAACACTTGTCAAACACACTTTGATAGTTGTCCAACATTTCTTTGCTGTGTCACAAATAAAAATTATTATATTTTTCTTCGGACACCTCTCCACACAATTTTAATACCTCTTTGATACAATTTGGATACCTTTTTGGTACCACTTGGCCACAAGTTAAAAGAGTTAACAAACACTTGTGCTTAACTAAATACTTATTTAATACTCTTATTAAAAAAATCGAGCTTATTTATAAATATTTCAAGGCTCATAGCATCTTTTTTTCTTTTATTATTTTTACAGAAATTACTAATTATTTTGATTTTTAAAAGATCCTCTTCATCTTTTATGAGTATTATTATATAAAAATTATAAAGTTTAGCCTCTTTAAAAGTGATTATATATAAATCTTAATTTTATGTATAAGATCCCTTATCCTATATTTTAGACATTAGCAGGGTCTAAGTCTCTGTCATGTCCAATTCAGTCAATACTTCATAGCTCACAAGTAAACAAGTAAAATATTTCCGTGCTGCATGTTATGAAATGCAAACTTGTTTGGGCACAACACAGTCAATGTTTGAATGTAAAATATCATTGATTCATCCATGATTTGAGACCCATACTAATAGCTACCAGTCTATTACAAATGCTACAATAAAAGCGATCATAAGAAAAAGAGTAAAAGACTAACCAAAGAGTTGTTTAGATTGACATTCTTTCATTGTACTGGTCTTGCAACCAAATATGACCCCACCAAGTTGATACTTCTCCAAATTTCTGCCACCCACAGAACTGACCACTGAATTTGGAGAAAAAGGCATTGTCCTACTGATATTAAAAGTTTGTGTTCTCCTCCCTGCCCTCATCCCGCCACAATCTTAAGAAAGAGGACAAGGCTTATTTCATTAACAATCCATGGCAAAATTGAGAACATCAAGAAATGTAAATTATTTAGAGTTTGATGGTTATGGACGCATTGATAGAGTAAAATAATTTTATAATATCAACTAATGATGTTACTGTGTTAATGACTTTTTTATTTATTTCTTATAGAAGTCAATAATTTATTATTAATAGTGATTTGAGATTAAATGATGGTGTAAATTCACTTTACATTATCACCTATTTTCTAAGTTATTATTATGTTGACAATATCAAATGAATAAGAGCTTCATGTTATTGGAAGTTAAAATAAATGAAGATTTCTTACATTAAAAAAGATGAACATAGTAAAAACAATGAAAATACTTGGGCAAAGGACTGAATATTGGACTAAAAAAATTTGATTGAGCATCAATTAATGTTGGCATCACACTTAAGGATTACCATGGCAGCAATATGAGGGAGCATAATAGTAACTTGACACAAAATAAGACTGTAAAAAGCATAATTCTATCCTAATCACTTTCCTACTCAACCCCCACGCCAACAAACATTAGTGAGAGCGTTACAAGAACTATCAAACACCAATTCCGACCATGCAACATGGTTCAATCCATAGCTTGATCAGATAAAAGTAACAAATACAAGAAACACAATTTAAAAAGTCTATATTACGTAGCTACAATTTCTATAATAGGAAACAAAAAAAAATGATAGGGAAAAAAACAAAGGAATTTAGAGAAAGAGAGATACTTGAACGTTGAAAAAGTTTGTGAGACACAAAAGGACTCAAGAAAAACGGACTCAAAAAAGACAAATGTTGGGAAATGCTTTTATAGAAAAAGTACCCTTGGACACTTTTACGTGGGAAATGTTCATAAGTTTAAAATGATTTAGATTTTTTTGTTTTTTGGAATATGATTGAGTTTAACAATGAATCAAGCAACTTACACAATGTTAAATAATACTACCTCTAGTTCATTTTACAAGAAACAAGTTATATTGTAATACATTTGCCCGTAGGTAATGCATATATAGAAATTGAATAGCTAAACACTAACGTGCATATTTTCTCTCTCTTTAATTTGCTTACAAAGTCATTCAGTAATCTAGGGTTGAAGGAGTAGGAGTACCTTATTTTGTATTCTTTTTTTATTATCAGTAAGTACCTTATTTTGTATTAATACAGGGTATGGAGTACCACCTTTAGCATTTATATCGAACTTTATGGATGAGTATTATAAGAAAATATGCGCCTCTTAGATTAAAAAAAAATTATAAAAATAAAATAAAATAAAATAAAACCGAAAAGCATGGCATAACTCATTATGTCTATCACTCTAATTTGACTATTAGCACTTTAACAATGATAGAATTAAATATACATGTTATTTATGTCCAACATGGATTTGTCATTTCCTATTGAAATGGAATTGGTATGTGATGATACCAACAAAATTATTTAGTAGTTAACACGCTGTTTGCATTGATCATAAATAATCTTTTTCTTTAGGAAAAACAAATAACAAAATATTAAACATGAATTTGATCAAGTTAAAAAAAAAAAAAAATCACACGGAATTTTTTTTTTAGTAATAGGGAGGAGAAAAAAATTGTTTCCTGGATTCTTAGTTAGGTATTAAAGTGTTGTTAAAATCGTAAATGAAACCTAGGATTCGTAGACAACTCTCTTTTAACACTATTATTTTTTCATTTACCGAATTAAAAGTCAATTAGAGAACTTAAAAGTTCTTTGCTATATAGATCACCAAGTATTTATAGACATAAAATAATTATTGAATGACATTTTTTAACAATGAAAACAACAAGGACAAAACTTAGGATTGTACAGTGTACAAACTACATAACCCGCTTTCACTAGACTAAACATTTTTAATTAAATATTATATATAAAAAAATATTGTATGTAACTTCCTATTTTTCATAAAATTAAAATAATCTTATTGTATAATATAAAGTTTATTTTATTGGCTTGGATTAGTTTTAGTTAATTGGACTTTTAAAATAAATTAAGGATGTTTTAGAAAATAAAATAAGAGTGGGCTAATTAAGTGGATTATAATAATTTGATAAGTTATGGTTCTGGATTTAGAAGTCTTATCCATTGGCTATACAAGTGAGAGTCTTTGTGGGGAGGGGTTAACCTCTAATATATGACAATTAATATATACTCAGTTTACATAATTATTTGATAATTTATTTATATTATTTAATATATGAAAACATTAATTTTTTTAATAACTTCTAATTCAATTATAAAAATATTAAATTGTTATTTTTTATGTTTAAATACAAATTGTCTTTTAAAATAATATATATATATATATATATATATATATGACATTCATAATTTATCCATGTATTATTAGATTATTAGATTAAATTTAACAAATAAATATATGTTCTTAAATTTATATTTTCTAATATTTTTAAATGATGTTAAAATAATTGAATCTATTTAAATGATTTAATGGAATAATATTTGAACACTTTTTGTTAAAATCAATTTTCTTATTTTCTTCTTATATTTAATTAAATTTACCTATGAAAAATTCTTGCGTGGCATGGAAGCATAGTAACTATCTTTGTCTACTTCAACATGCATGAAATTTCTAGTAATAAACATTGTTTTTGAAGTTGATTTTTCAATTATTAAATTTGTCAAAGGTGTGTTTTGACGTGCTTGTCATTATCGTATGCTTGGAATGTTTGTGATTGAAATTTAATTACGAGCCAATGAGTTCAGTCAATGTAAGTTGTTATAATGCAATATTCAAATAAATATATCTGTAAAAAAATAATAGTCTCTTAAGTCTTAACTATTATTAAAAACAAAAATATGCATTTTCTAATAATTTTGGCATGGCCTATTATGTTTCTACTCAATAATATTATTGATTTGGTTATATATGGGCCGTAGTGCGTGTTGGATTTTAGGCATACGAAACACTTCTCACTATAGTTGTTTCACTTAGCACATATATTTATTAATATATTTATAATTTTGTCTTCTTTTTTATTTAACTAAATAGCAATTAGTTCTATACATTCATGTAATTAGTTATTTTCTAGACAGAATATATATGAAACAGATTTTAAAAGTCTCAAAATAATAGTATTTTTGAAAACATGTTTCACCGTTTTGAAAAAGTGGATGATAAGAATATCCAAAGTTAGCCTCCAATAATAGATAATATTATAAAGGGGAAAATGTTCTTAAGAGCCTAGTCAAAGTAGAAAAATTGTTCTTAGAATATGAAAGATTTTGAAAGTCTCAAAAATGATAATACTAGTATTCAAAACTTTATTTTAATTTTTACACAACTGTCGACGAAAATTCTAATATGAAGTAGTATAAAATGTGGTACATGGATGAAGCACTATTTTTAACCATTGAATATATTATTTAAAAATTGAATGACTAAGATTTGTGACCGGCAACCAGAAGGTTTGGTTTTCATCCAAACCCTAACTCTCAAATTGTGAGACTCAAATCCTTCTACTCTTTTTTTCTCTTCCTATTTTCTTCTTTTCTTCCTTCACTCACTTACCTTCACTCGTTGGGCTGGAAAACCATTTCACTCGTTGGGCTGGAAAACTATTTCACTCTTGATGTTTCTTTGTTGTTAAACTCATCCTCTCATTTTGATTCACCAAGGTACTGAGCAATAGGAGAAGTTGATGACCTTGAGCACTAGAGTCGCACAGATTCTCCTTCTCCATTATTCTCCTCCGTTCTTCTCTTCTTCTTCCTCGTAGAGCTTGGGATTAAGGTAAGGGAAGTTAGAATCTTGAGTTGCTGTTTGAATTGAAACATACTATTAACTGAATTCTTGGAAAATTTGAGTTTTGGGGGTGGATTTAAGGTTGGTTGCATGTTGAAAGCTGACACCTTGTGGTTGTTCTTGATGCATGCATGTTGTGATTCTTGATGTTTTTGGGTTGCATGTGGTTGGTAGTGATGCATTTGAGTTGTAACATGGATTGGGTCTCCTTGGATTGCAGGTTCATGGAGGATTTGAGTGAAATCGAAGGTGAAATCCATGGAGTTTTAGAAATTATGAGACTCAGCCATAGTTGTGGATTCACAACTATAGCCGTGGAGGAAAAATGAACTTGTAGAAACCCACTGTCATAGCCGTGGATTCACAGCCATAGCCATGGGGGGGGAATGGAGTGGTAGAGACTTGCAACCATGTTTGTGAATTTGCAGCCATGGCTGTGGGAAAAAAATGGAGTGGCAGAAACTTGCAACCATGGTCGTGGATTCACAGCCATGGCCATGGAAAGGAAACTGAGTTGGCAAAAATCCAAAACTAAAGCGCTGATTTAAGCACTGCAGCGGTGAGTGTAGATGACCGAATTGGATCTTAAGGCCTTCATGAAAGTTGTAGCCTTGGATGTTAGCTTTCCAATGACGCTATAACCACTTAAAAAGGAGATCTAGAGCTCCAATTATGACCTTTTTAGTGAACAAAGGTCAAGTTGTCATCATTTAGGAAAATGGTTGTGGTTTTTACAATTTTTAACAAGGTATATGATGGAATTAGGACTTAGTGTCTTCATGAGAGTTGTAGAAAATATTCTTATCTTTCATATGCGATAAGGATGAGAATGATTGGAGTAGTAGAACTCCTTGTGTTGTTTTAGGTGAAGGTTGTCAGTGTAAAAATATGTGATTTTGATAAATTGCATGTGATACATGTTGTATGATGGGTAAAATTGGTGAACATTAATAGAATGCTTGTGTCAATTGCATGTTGTGTGTTATAGGATGATGACGATGAGCATTGATATGCTTTATATGATTGATATGCTATTATTGTATGAATTGTGAAGCATTGGTATGTTGTTCTTGGTTGAGATGTTAAGCATTGGTATGTTGTACATTATTGATGTGGTTGGTCTCTATATGCATTGACTGGATGTAATGTATATAGTAGATGTATGGTAAGGTGTGAGTGATAAGAATGTTGTGTGGCATTATAGCATGATGGCTAACTTAGGATTTGAGGAGAGAAAATTATTTTGAAAACTGAAGATCCCACATAGGGTATCTTAGAGTGGTGCTCGAGTAGGCTACTGTTTAAAAAATCCTCCTTGAGTAGGTGTGTCTCTTGGAGTAGGTTTTGAGGTGTGTTGAGTCTCCTCTAAATCCTTTAGTTAGTGGTTGAGTAAGGTAGGAGGTCGATGGATACAACCCTTAACCAAGTACCTGGAAAGGTTGTGTGGTTCCTTGAGGATAATCAGTGGGCAAATTCCATATGTGACTTGGTAATACATGCCAAGGTCGTGGTAAGCCTATACCCATTTGTACTACTCTTGATGATGGAACTAGACTTTCCTAGTATAAGTGATGAGACTCGAGAAACCAAAGGAGGGATTGATATCCCATTTTGCTGTGATCGAGCCGACCTTTGGGCGTGAAAATAATTTGGTAGGTTCGGTAGGGTGAAAATCACTTAGACTACTCATGTTGTTAGGAGATCTCCGTAAGTGAATGCATGAAGACGCATTAGTCAATGTGTTTGCATATGATGTATGTTGAGATGTGTTCATGTGCATCTGATGTCTTTTGGGACATGCTTGGGTGAGATACATGCTTGGTTGTGATGTGATTAGTTTCATACAGGATATCTGGTGTTTGTTGTATATGATAGACTTGTTTCTATATGTATATATATTTTTTAAACTCTAGCTTATCCTTTCTGTTTCCATGATGGTTTGGACTATGATGATCATACATTGTATGAGAGTAGATCAGAGCTAGGCTTGAGGAGCTGATGTGGACAGGGTTGTGATCTTTTTGATGGCAGTACTACTGATGTACCTTGTATAGGTGTGCTTGACCAGGAATAAGATGTAGGATTATTTTGGGATGATGTATATATATATATATATATATATATATATATATATAAACTAGGGGATCACAAGATCATAACTATTGAATTTATCCCATGTCTAAGATTATATAATAGTCATGTAACAAGTGGGTTTATTGTCCACCCTAACCCACACATTATTTGTTCAATACATGATCTATATCAAAAAGTATATATAACTTATTTATTATAATTAGTTGCTAGTGTTAGTGATTCCATAGAGTGTGGTGACTATGGCAAGTCATTAAGCAAATCGCCATCATCCTCCACCGCAGCTTGCGCACGTCGACGTCCTCGTCGCCCATGGCCTTGCGCGACGCCAGTGGCAGCGATGTAGGAGGGGTGGATGGGGCTGGTGCTAGTGACGGCGATGATTGCTTCTCTCTCCTCAAGGCTCGCAATCCGAGGCCCTCTGACGTAGCTCGCACGTATCGATGTCCTCGCCACCCATGGCCTTGCGCGACGCCGGTGGCGGCGATGTAGGAAGAGTGGATGCGGTTGGTGCCAATGGCGACGATGATCGCTTCTCTCTCCTTAAGGCTCGCAGATTTGAGATCCTCCAAGAACCGCACCACCATCCTTCGCCGCAGCTTGGGCGCATCGACGTCCTCGCCACCCATGGCCTTGCATGATGCTGGTGGCAACGATGTAGGAGGGGTGGATGGGGTTGGTGCTAGTGGCGGCGATGATCACTTCTCTCTCCTCAAGGCTCGTAGATCCGAGGTCCTCTGCCGCAACTCGTGCACATCGACATCCTCGTCGCCCATGGCTTTGCACGACGCCGATGGCGACGATGACCTTGTCAATGACACAGGTGAATTAACCAATGGCGCCAACGACCGAATGGAGTTTCTGGCGGGGACCATGGCGGCGTAGGGCCGAAAGAGGTGACTTTTATTTTTTTTCTTCCAATTTTAACCGGTAGTAATAAGTCAATTTAGTAATATATGGATAAGACATATAATAAAGTACTTCACGCTAGAAGCACTCAAAAGTCGATCATAAGAATATTCAAAGCTCGCAACCAAAAAATAATAATGTCTCATCTAAGTTATCATGACCAATCAGAATTCATTTTCGTTAAGTTGCACACAATTTTTTTGGGAAGTTTATTTTTTTAAAAGTAAACAGAAAAAAAAGTTCTTGGAAAAAAAAAACTCAGAATATATATATGTAGAGAGAGAGAAAGAACTTTGTTGAAAAACTAAAATTCATTTTAATATTTCTACATCGTTTAAATATAATTAATGTAAAAAGTCACCTATTTATTTTTTTTATATTGGTGTGACATCTACATCAATTTTATAATTCTTATATTAGTGACGAGCCATCGTCTGATTAGTGCAATTTTTATTTTTCAAATTAAATAGCTTTTAAGAAAAAGTGAAATGACTTAAAAGATGAATGTTCACGGTTTGTAACTATATACCTTAATTGGATAGATTTTTTTTTCCAAAAAATAATTAATCACTACTAGAAATTTTTCCAAAAAAAAAATATTAACAGAAATTTTTTTGTGAATTTTCCTACAAAATAATATTTGCAAAATTTTTTTGCGAATTTATTTACGAAAAATAATTTACAGATATTTCTTACAAATTTTGCTACAATTTTAATAATTCATAGAAATTTTTTTCCAGGGTATAAATTTGCAAAAAATATTGTAAGAATTTTATTTTTTTTCTTGTAGATTTTCTTACAAAAATAAATTCGCAAGTAATGTTTACTAAATGGCAACCACTAGGGTGGGTGGGGAGGGGTTGAGATAGTTAGAAGTATGAGGACTTAGGTTCAATCCTCATTGCGACTATCTTTATAATCTTTACTATCTTTACCAAAAAAAAATGGCAGAAAAATTTTGCAGGTAACTTTTCTTGCAAATTTTAATCCACAGGAAAAATAAAAAAAATTAAATTTATAAGTTTAATATTTTAAAAAAACTTCAAGTCTCACATCGATTGAAAATAAAACAATTAAAGAGTATATAAGTTTGGACAACACTTATCTTACAAGTTGATTTGTATGGTTGAGTGTTAGGCTTATAATTTACAATCTTAGAATTTAAAAGATTATATATCTGAACACTTGAAAGTTGGAGAATTATTGATAGAATTTATAGTAATTTCTTTAATTTTTTTCATAAAAAATATTCCTGCAGAATTTCTTATGAAAAAATTCATAGGAAACTTTCCTACGAGTTTTTTTTTACAGGAAACTTTCTTGCGAATTTTTTCGCAAGAAATTTTGCAGGAAAATTTTCTGTAAATTTTAAAATTCGCAAAAATATATTATCAACGAAGGTATTACTTGCAGATAAAATTTCGCAGAAAAATTTGTAAAAACGTTTCCTACAAGTTTTTCATAAAAATTCACAAGAAAAGTCGCATGTAATAAGAAAAATTCTAGTAGTTAATGTTATTTTTGTCTAAGACACCTAATATAATTGAGAATTACCCTCATATCTTGCGTACAACTGTGTTCGAAAAAAGTATAACTTTTTATTCACCAAGGAGGCATTTAAGGTATAGAAACTTCTTACTTTTTCACAAATATGACATAAGATGTTAGCATTTGGTATTTGATTTGTTATTTAAAAAATAATATTTAAAAAAAAAATATTATTTCTGATAAATGTTTTCTCATAAATTATTTTCATGGGATTAGCAATCAACCTTGACAGTTCAAAAAAAACCAGGAGCACCATGGCCACCCAATTATTCCTCAGATTCTTACTTCTCTGGCTATACCCTCACCAACGTCATAGGAGAAGACACAGACACGGGCTTCGTGGGCTCACTAGACCCCAAGTCATTGGGCTTGGACAAGAAACAAACCCTAAGCCACTTCAAATTCTACTAGCAGTCTGGCACGACATCGTGGACAACCCTCTGACCCTGGGCCCCGAGTTGGACTGGAAGCTTGTGGGCTGGGCCGAAGTGTTGTATTCCTTTACCTGGCAGGCCCAGCTTCATTTGGTCATGGTTATGAATTTGGCCTTGTTTGAAGGGAGCAGCATAACTATCTTGGGGAGGAACGTGGTTGATGAAGAGGTTAAAGATATGGCTGTGATTGGTGGCAGTGGTTGATGGAACCTACTTCTTTGATCCCAACACAGGGGATGCTTCCACGGAGTACAACGTTTATGTTCTTCATTATTGATCATGCTTTATACTGGGGTGGGGGAGTTTTGTTTTTTATTTTTCATTCCTTTTTCAGTTTTTCTTTTTCACGAGTTTATTTGTGGTTGGTTATTTGATCAATAAATACTTCCTACGGACCATAATAATCATTTTATACATAAATTAAAGATAATAAATGTAAAACCTTTTCATATAATCATACTAAAATAATTGATTCTATGATTGAATAATTTATGAGGTAAATTAGAATAATAATAATTAATATTATATCAAATAGTAATAATATAATTCATTTTAAAACATTTTTTTTTAAATATTAAAATTGTCGTTATTGTGAGAGAGCAATAGTAATAAGTTTATATTGCAGAGAATAAATTCTGAATAAAGTTTGTGATACATTAATATTATAAATATATAAATTAATCATATTTTAGATTTACAATGAAAAATTTAAAATGTGATATAAGGTTTTGTTTAATTATAAGGAATTACATTTAAAATACTATATAAGTTCAATTTATAAATATAGATAAAAGATAGAAGATTAAAATATATAAATAATTAGAGGAAAAAGAGTGATTTAGTTCCTCAAGCAAATGTTCATTAGATTTAAAATCGAGGAATGATACAAAATTTTATCTATTTTGTACTAAAATTTACTTAATTGAAAGGTAATTCCAAAAGGAAACAAATTTCTTAAATGACTGTCTTTTCTTAATTTTTATTAAAAGAGTGCTTTAGTTTCTCAAGTAAAATCTCATTAGATTTAAAATTGAGGAATGATACAAATTTTTATTTGTCTTATACTAAAATTCACTTAATTTAAAGGTAAAGATGGAAAGAAATGAATTTTTCAAATGACTATCTTTTCTTAAACTTTCTAAAAAAAATAAGGGAGTTAATCAAATTTTTGAAAATTTTAAATTGAATTAAACTAGTCCATTTTATAAAAGTGAATCAGTTCAACTTTTTCATAAATATGTATAAAATTTTTTAAAATTGAATCGGTTCGTTGTAGTGTGATTATTCATTTTTTACTCATACATAGATTGATTTTTGAAAATAAATTGAATTGAATCGATTCACTTTATAAAAATAGATCGGGTAACCGAATCGATCTTAAAAAGTGGATAGGTTCAAATTTTATCTCTAAATGAATCAATTTTTTAACATGAATTAGGTTAGTTATAGATTTATTCGAATCAATTTGAATTTTTTGCATACCCCTATTTAAAAGGTGTTCAAATCAATTGTCTTGAATAAAAATTAGTCATGGAAAAAGTTAGTAAATGCACTTTCTTAAAACTATATTATTTACTTTTATAAAATTCAATAAATTGTATCAAAAAGTTCTAACTCTGCACCAATGTCTTCTATTAGTGGTATTCAATATGCCTAAAGTTTCACATCATTTAAGAGTCAAGATTAAGTGTAGTCACTACAAGAAAATTGGGTATTATCTACGAAAATTTATCTACGAAAAAATTTTCGTAGATAATTTTTGTTCGTTGGGCTGGAAAACTATTTCACTCTTGATGTTTCTTTGTTGTTAAACTCATCCTCTCATTTTGATTCACCAAGGTACTGAGCAATAGGAGAAGTTGATGACCTTGAGCACTAGAGTCGCACAGATTCTCCTTCTCCATTATTCTCCTCCGTTCTTCTCTTCTTCTTCCTCGTAGAGCTTGGGATTAAGGTAAGGGAAGTTAGAATCTTGAGTTGCTGTTTGAATTGAAACATACTATTAACTGAATTCTTGGAAAATTTGAGTTTTGGGGGTGGATTTAAGGTTGGTTGCATGTTGAAAGCTGACACCTTGTGGTTGTTCTTGATGCATGCATGTTGTGATTCTTGATGTTTTTGGGTTGCATGTGGTTGGTAGTGATGCATTTGAGTTGTAACATGGATTGGGTCTCCTTGGATTGCAGGTTCATGGAGGATTTGAGTGAAATCGAAGGTGAAATCCATGGAGTTTTAGAAATTATGAGACTCAGCCATAGTTGTGGATTCACAACTATAGCCGTGGAGGAAAAATGAACTTGTAGAAACCCACTGTCATAGCCGTGGATTCACAGCCATAGCCATGGGGGGGGAATGGAGTGGTAGAGACTTGCAACCATGTTTGTGAATTTGCAGCCATGGCTGTGGGAAAAAAATGGAGTGGCAGAAACTTGCAACCATGGTCGTGGATTCACAGCCATGGCCATGGAAAGGAAACTGAGTTGGCAAAAATCCAAAACTAAAGCGCTGATTTAAGCACTGCAGCGGTGAGTGTAGATGACCGAATTGGATCTTAAGGCCTTCATGAAAGTTGTAGCCTTGGATGTTAGCTTTCCAATGACGCTATAACCACTTAAAAAGGAGATCTAGAGCTCCAATTATGACCTTTTTAGTGAACAAAGGTCAAGTTGTCATCATTTAGGAAAATGGTTGTGGTTTTTACAATTTTTAACAAGGTATATGATGGAATTAGGACTTAGTGTCTTCATGAGAGTTGTAGAAAATATTCTTATCTTTCATATGCGATAAGGATGAGAATGATTGGAGTAGTAGAACTCCTTGTGTTGTTTTAGGTGAAGGTTGTCAGTGTAAAAATATGTGATTTTGATAAATTGCATGTGATACATGTTGTATGATGGGTAAAATTGGTGAACATTAATAGAATGCTTGTGTCAATTGCATGTTGTGTGTTATAGGATGATGACGATGAGCATTGATATGCTTTATATGATTGATATGCTATTATTGTATGAATTGTGAAGCATTGGTATGTTGTTCTTGGTTGAGATGTTAAGCATTGGTATGTTGTACATTATTGATGTGGTTGGTCTCTATATGCATTGACTGGATGTAATGTATATAGTAGATGTATGGTAAGGTGTGAGTGATAAGAATGTTGTGTGGCATTATAGCATGATGGCTAACTTAGGATTTGAGGAGAGAAAATTATTTTGAAAACTGAAGATCCCACATAGGGTATCTTAGAGTGGTGCTCGAGTAGGCTACTGTTTAAAAAATCCTCCTTGAGTAGGTGTGTCTCTTGGAGTAGGTTTTGAGGTGTGTTGAGTCTCCTCTAAATCCTTTAGTTAGTGGTTGAGTAAGGTAGGAGGTCGATGGATACAACCCTTAACCAAGTACCTGGAAAGGTTGTGTGGTTCCTTGAGGATAATCAGTGGGCAAATTCCATATGTGACTTGGTAATGCATGCCAAGGTCGTGGTAAGCCTATACCCATTTGTACTACTCTTGATGATGGAACTAGACTTTCCTAATATAAGTGATGAGACTCGAGAAACCAAAGGAGGGATTGATATCCCATTTTGCTGTGATCGAGCCGACCTTTGGGCGTGAAAATAATTTGGTAGGTTCGGTAGGGTGAAAATCACTTAGACTACTCATGTTGTTAGGAGATCTCCGTAAGTGAATGCATGAAGACGCATTAGTCAATGTGTTTGCATATGATGTATGTTGAGATGTGTTCATGTGCATCTGATGTCTTTTGGGACATGCTTGGGTGAGATACATGCTTGGTTGTGATGTGATTAGTTTCATACAGGATATCTGGTGTTTGTTGTATATGATAGACTTGTTTCTATATGTATATATATTTTTTAAACTCTAGCTTATCCTTTCTGTTTCCATGATGGTTTGGACTATGATGATCATACATTGTATGAGAGTAGATCAGAGCTAGGCTTGAGGAGCTGATGTGGACAGGGTTGTGATCTTTTTGATGGCAGTACTACTGATGTACCTTGTATAGGTGTGCTTGACCAGGAATAAGATGTAGGATTATTTTGGGATGATG